AATAGAGCAGAACACTCAAGAATTTTATTGCATGTTATTGGTGTTTCAATGCTTTGGACTGATATAGAAGAAGAAGACACTTATAGGTGGCAACCAACAGCCAAGTGGGTCGGTCAGTGAACAAAATGCACCAAAACTGGTCAGCCATAGTTGGATATGATGGATCTTGTTTTGAGCTTTTCGAGAGAGAGAGAGAGAGAGAGAGAGAGAGAGAGAGAGAGAGAGAGAGAGAGAGAGAGAAGGATTTGAGAGTTTTAATCCCACAGTATCTAGCTAATGTAGTTTGTTCTGGTTTCTCACCTAATCTTGCCCTGGCTTCTATTCATATACAGCTAAACTTAAAGCAAGAAAAACAAGCAGTAGTAATGGATAAACTGGGTGCTGCTAATTTCACCCTAACCACCACTCTTTCAACATTAGTTGAAAATGCCACTGGGAAACAGGCTGATGGGAAGGTGTTACCTCCCATCTTAACTATTAAGAGACATAGATGGAGGGAAAAGGCCGGCAAAAGGGTGTGACTAGAGAAATTGCCACTTTTCCCAACAGAAGGAAGAGATATTATCCAAAGTGTGGGTCTAATTATAACGAGTGATGAGATTGATTAATCTTCTTCAGGTCATTTATTATTGGTCTAACAAGAACGCACATGCATGGTCCCCTCTAAGTGTGACAGGAATGTGATCATTACCGTAGGGGATTAGTGTAGATTCGTCCTATGATCATTATTAAGCTTATACTAAAATAAGGATTTTTAACATGATAGCATCTGTAGCACACTGATGATTAAGTAAACAAAAAAAAAAGTGATATTTTAACTAACTGAATCATAGATATAATAATGATAATTGAAATGACAGGCTGTTCAGATTAATTAGACATCCCATCAGCACAAATCACTTTAATTGTCAACAAATGGGATCAAGTAGTAGACTGACCAAGCTGCACCATTCAAGAAGCAGAAGGAAAAGCTTTTGTGGCCATCAATGACTGATAATAAACTTCAAAGGAATTCATGTCTCTTAGTGCAGGACATGGAAAATCTTGGAAAGGCAAAACTATGCAGTCTTTTTTACATCCAGAGCCTAAGAAGGTTTTCTTTCCTCCTCAGGAAAGTAAATAATATAGTGAAAACAGCGAATCTAAGCTTTTGAAACAGCGGCCAGCTACAGCCCCAGAAAATCAAACCTCACTTTCGGTTCCAGCTTAGTTTGACACAATCAACGCAAGAAAGCACTTGATTGTCAAAGTTGAACAAAACCCATTTTGAACATGGAAGAAGGAAGGATTTTTTGACAGCATTGACTAGTAAGAGACAGACATATATACCATCATGTGAGGCATGTATTTACCCTTATAAGTTATTAAGGGATGAGCTAACTCTGTGTACATGTGGTAAGTTCGAATTTTACTTACCAGAGATACTTTTCCTTCTCTACCACTTTCAGTTCCTTTTGACTCTGTGGTTAAAGCAACCAAAACCCTTCTCTAATTGAGGGCTAAAGTACTAACTAGTAAGTTAAAGTAAGGCCTACACTGAAGAAGCAAGCATGGAAGAGAGCATCGGATAATTGCAACTTTAATCATCAAAGTGAGAGAGGAAAGAGACTCCTAATCTTTGAGTATAAACCAGCCAAGCCAAACTTGTAAACCAAGGAATATAGCAAACTCAAGCAAGAAAATTTAAAAAGGAAGTCTAGCTGTAGTACCTTTGATAGACATGCTGCATGCCATCTAGTTCGAAGACTGAAGAGAAGGGTCTTTTGGTCCTTTCACTCCTTTGTGGATCCACTGAAAGGAAGGCGCTTTCATACTCATGTAAGGTTGAAAGGAATCCCTGGCTGCCTCTCATGCAAATTCTACTTGCATTGCAATTCTGTTTTGTGATGTGGACTCACCCTCCACCTCGCTGTTAGAAACCTAATTCTAGGGTTCTAACGGTCGGATTGATGAGATTGGGAATTGATAGATATTTAGGGATTGAGATAGGATTGGGGAAGAACAGAATTGGAGATTAGGGATTTAGAAGAGGAAATTGGGGATCAAGGAGAAGAATGGCCTCCGGCCTAGGGATAGATGACGAAATTGAGAGAGATTAGGGTTTGAGATACTGTTCTGAATAATTGATCTTCCTTGATTATGAATAAAACCCAAAGTACATATTTATAACGAAAGATAAGAAAACCTAATACTAAACCTAATTCTGCTAAAAGACTACTAACCATATTTGATAAAACCTAATAATAATGATAATATAGAAACTCGTTTTCCTTAGAAAACGTGTTTCTAACATCCCATCCCCCTTGAGACCAACCTTGCCCTCAAGGTTGATCGACTCAACCCACTTCTTCTTGACCTTCCGCTTTCTTCGTTTCCAGTTGTGCTCAATTTCATGAATGAACTCTTCTCGCGCAACTCCAACTATCCTCGAATCTCCTTCACCCACGTGACACCTACGTCCCACCCCATAGCCAAACGATTCTTCTTCCTTTTCGAATTCCACGAAATAAGAATCGGAGAATTGTTCTTCCTTATTCTCTAGCGTGAGGTCTTCAAAGAAATGATCCATAAATTCCATCATGGGCTTGACGGTGAAAATAACGCATAGCATCTCTAATCCTTCTTTTCCTTCACTTTGGACTCGGCCCATAATAGCTTGGAGGAACGAGTTGTGGCCCAAATCCAAATCAAGCCTCTCCTTACTCTTATCTTCGTTTGGGCTTGTCTCCTCCAAAAGCCCACCTTTTAAGTCCACCAAACCTTCTTCTTTCTTTAAATAGCTTCTCTGCACAATAAACCTTATAAAACAGCCATTGGGCTCAATCTCTTCAAGACTTGGCCCATCAACTAACATAAACCCTTCCCTCTGATGCGGCCCAATATTTTCAATTAAGCCCGCCAAATCCCATCTTGTTGTCACCAGATCTTCAAGCCCACAACTAAACTCTTTCTCCTTCCAAGCCAACTTATAACTTTGGCCCACTGTTTTTGACCCGTCAGAGGAGACTTCCCAACCGGCCCGGGCGACCAGATCAGCGACTCGGCCCACGGGTTCGGCCCGCTGGATGGCGCGGCCTAGGGTTGCGAATGGAACGCCGCTGCCGCCATTTTCTCGCGACTCTACCCCCAGCAGCGGCCAGGCCATCTTAATCGCCTCCGCCGGCGGTGGCTCGTCGTCTGTCCTCTCCAGCGACGCTCTCTCCGACACCTCCTCTCCCGACGGCGCCTCGCCCAGCCGACGACTAAGAAGCAAGCTCGTCCCGGCGATCATCGCTATCGGCTCTTCCTCCTCATCGGTGGAAAGCCAGCAGGAGGCAGAGAAATCACCGCCGCCCTTCTTCCTCTTTGCCTCGTTCTCCGTCGATGGACTCGTCAAGCGGCTGGGATGCAATTCCGACCCGCCAGTCCTCTTCCCCGGCACGGTCTCGTCGACGGCGGTTAGATCGCCGGGGACAGAGCAGTCGCCGTCCCTCGTTGGCACCCAGATCCTCCGGCGGAGAGATCTGCCTGCTCCCCTCGTCATCTTCGACGTTTTCTCCTTCGGTGGCGAACAACCCTCCAGGTGATGATCCCAGCTCGATTCAGGCCTCTTCACCTCGACCTTCGCCCCCGGCTCCATCTCGTTCTCCGACGGCGGCTCGGCTTCTAACTCCATCAACTCTGTCGGCGGCGATCCCCGAACTCCGCGACCAGGCGGCGAAAACTCTCTGTCCAACCTCGGCTTCCTCCGAAATCGCCAGCTCGCCACTCGACCCCGTGTTGATCTCATCCCCGAACCCTCGGATCGGATTGCTTCTTTAGCGGCGACGACCCTCTCATTTCCCGAGACAGCGTCGAGGTCTTCTTCTTCCTCCTCAGCAGCTACAGTGGCCTTGCGCCGCTCCTCGGCTCCAATCCAGAGAGTTGTGATCTTGGAAAGGGCACTGATGGTGGTCGCTGCTGCTGGTGATGCGATGTGTTCAAGCTTTGCATTCATTGCCAGAAGCAACGACTGCTTGCCTGAGATCTCGGCCACCGGGCCATCTCCTTCTTTGGTCAGGACCGCTAAGATAATCTCGGAAGTATTCTGTTCCTTCTCCATGGATGGTTGTTCAACTGCTGCCAGCAGTGTTGGTGGTGAGTTTGCGGCTGCGGTAGCTGATGGCGGCGGAAACTGCAGCTTGTCATTGAGTTCAGCATACTGCAACGATTCAGCTGTGCCATCGACCTCAGCACTCTCCGCCGACGCTGTGATGTCGTCCGCGGTCTCCTCGGTCAGCCTCGGCGACTGCGGCGGTATTGTTGCGCGATCTCCACTGATCTCAGCAACCGTCGCATCTTGCCTTGTGACCATCTCTCTCTTCGCCGCCCTCATCCGTGCCTCTTGATTACGGCGTTCCAAGGTCTGCTCCAGCAACGCTTGTAGCCGGTACCCCTCTTGCACGGTCGGCGACTCTTCGGAGCTCCAACGGCGTCCGATGCGGCGAGCCCGGTCACGCAGCTCTGTCCACGACAAGTTCGAGAGCTTTGAAGAGCTCATCGTCGAACTAGTTGTAGAAATCGTCCCCGGTTGAGAGTTGTGGTGAACTCAATTCTCGAACCGGGCTCTGATACCAGATGTTAGAAACCTAATTCTAGGGTTCTAACGGTCGGATTGATGAGATTGGGAATTGATAGATATTTAGGGATTGAGATAGGATTGGGGAAGAACAGAATTGGAGATTAGGGATTTAGAAGAGGAAATTGGGGATCAAGGAGAAGAATGGCCTCCGGCCTAGGGATAGATGACGAAATTGAGAGAGATTAGGGTTTGAGATACTGTTCTGAATAATTGATCTTCCTTGATTATGAATAAAACCCAAAGTACATATTTATAACGAAAGATAAGAAAACCTAATACTAAACCTAATTCTGCTAAAAGACTACTAACCATATTTGATAAAACCTAATAATAATGATAATATAGAAACTCGTTTTCCTTAGAAAACGTGTTTCTAACACTCGCAGAGCCCACGGCTGATTGCGATTAAAAATATAACTTTCAGAAAACACTTCTTTTAAAAAAAAAAATAAAGGACATGTCAGGCAGATCCTTCAATGGGTTGGAATCTTCTCTATTTGCTGCACTGGTTCCATTTCCGTTGGCAGCTTTGAAGCAGAGCAGACGATTATTCTGCGCACAAGGCAAAGTCCTGATGGAATGAGAATATCGGTAAAAAAATAAACATGAAATGAACAGAATGTGAGGTAAATATATCAACCACATCAACAGCAATATGGGGAAGACGTACTAATACTATACGAAGGGAGAGCAAAATACGTAGGTTGAATCATTTACGTAAGCGTGTACACCAGTAAAAAGAAGTTAAACGGGAAGCTGATATTTCTACACGTAGGGAGAGAACTTTTCAGGTAGTAACATGATGAGAACAAAAGAGGGAAGTGGATATGTTGGTTTAGTTTAGGCAAAATGACAAACTGTGATTTGAACAGCAACTAGGCTTTTTGGCGTAGCAATCCATCCCCTGCATCTGTACATTACTTGCAAGTTTATACCATTTACGCACTGCACAGTTAAAACAAGGTATAATTTCACTTGTACTGCTTTTATTTTCAAATATGTGATTGTGAGAACTATAGCATTACACGTACAGTGAGAGTGGCTGCTTTCTAACATTCGTTAGAGAACAGAAACTGACTATACTGACATGTCGCAGCTTAGAAAAATCTCACTCCTTTCTTCCTTCATTCCCCACCTTATTAATAAAGCCTACCCATTCTTCACACACTCACTTAATTTTGCTCTGTCCCTCTCCCTCTCTTCCTACATCTCTCTCCAACTGAAAGCAAAGAGAGAGAGATCCCACCTTACGAGCAAGCAACAACAGAAACCAATACTAGCCAAAACCAAATAAAAAGATGGATGCAGCAGAGAAATGGCATGAGTATCCGACAATGCCAGAGGTACAAACGATATCTATCTATCTATCTACAAAACAAAAAGGAAAGAGGAGAATAAAAAGCTCCAAAAGGGAAAAGAGGAATTGTATTATGCATATGCTTTTTTTTTTTTTTTTGTTCACCATCACGTTCTGTGTCTCACTGCAGCTTCGGCAATTTTCTATTTTTAGGTGGCAGAGGAACTGAAAAGAATGACAGATATAGGTCTCCCCATAGCAGCCATGAGCTTGCTGAGCTATCTCAAGAACATGATCTTAGTTGTGTGCATGGGAAGGCTTGGAAGTCTCGAGCTAGCTGGTGGTGCCTTAGCCATCGGCTTCACCAACATCACAGGCTACTCGGTCCTTTCGGGCTTGGCGACAGGGATGGAGCCACTATGCAGCCAAGCCTTTGGTTCCAAGAACTCATCTGTTGCGTTTCTCACTCTACAGAGGACAATTCTTATGCTACTTTTAGCCTCAATACCTATCGGTTTGCTATGGATCAACCTTCAACCCTTAATGCTCGCCCTCCATCAAGATCCTGATGTAGTCCAAGTCGCAAGCTTGTATTGCCGATTCTCCATCCCTGATCTCGTTGCTAATAGCCTTTTACATCCTATACGTATATATCTACGAAGCAAAGGAACCACATGGCCATTGATGTGGTGCACGTTAATCTCCATTCTCCTACACTTCCCTATCGCCATAGTTCTAGCATTCACGGTGAAACTCGGGCTAGCTGGACTAGCAATCTCCACCTTCATTACCAACTTCAACGCTATATTGTTGCTGTTATGCTATATGTATTTTACCAGTCAGCCCACAGAGTCTTCTCCACTCGAGGACGAGCAACTTTTGGTTCACCCACCCCCAAAAGCATCACTTACTTGTTCACTAAGCAATGAGTGGGGGGTTCTACTTAGACTCACCATACCGAGTTGCATAGCTGTTTGTTTAGAGTGGTGGTGGTATGAGTTCATGACGATCCTAGCTGGCTACTTAAGTAAACCTCGAGTTGCTCTTGCAACCTCGGCTATAGTAATACAGACCACTTCTCTTATGTACACTCTGCCTACTTCACTGAGTGCTTCGGCTTCTACCCGGGTGGGGAATGAGCTCGGAGCAGGGAGGCCGGAGAGAGCAAGATTAGCTGCTGTAGTTGCTATAGGAGTTGCTCTATTGAGTTCGTTATTTGGCTTGTTGGGAACCACACTTGGGAGAGAAGCGTGGGGAAGGGTCTTTACAGAGGACAAAGAGGTCCTAGAATTGACCATGATTGTCCTACCTATAATTGGGGTATGCGAGCTAGCTAACTGTCCACAAACAACAAGTTGTGGGATCTTACGGGGAAGTGCTAGGCCTGGCATTGGAGCAGGGATCAACTTCTACTCGTTTTACTTGGTGGGTGCACCGGTGGCCGTTGTCTTGGCCTTCGTTTGGAAACTTGGGTTTGTGGGTCTTTGCTATGGTCTTTTAGCAGCTCAAGTTGCATGTGTGGTCTCAATTTTAGTAGTAGTGTACAAGACAGATTGGGAAAGAGAGGCAATGAAGGCCAAATACATGGTGGGCAAGAGTGACAACACACTGGCACATGAAGAACAAACATTTCTTAAATGTGAAGAAGGTGTTGGGTTCCTCATTAAAGGAGTTGAGTAAGAAAAGTGAGGAGAGGCCATATTTTGTCACAAAGAAAACAGAGGAATACGACAGTGTTGGAAAAAGTTCAAGCTCTATTTTCAATCCGGTTGTGGATTATTGTATTGTAAATGAATCCAGCTCTTCCTCGTTTCTGAAATTTTGTCCATCGTGTTATAATTCTCCTAATACTACTGTTGATCTCAATCCACACAATGCTAAGAGTTACAAAAGGTGAAAATGCAGAAAATTGGCAAGCTACTTGAGACAGGATTGACACTAGTTATTCTATAACACAAACAACACTACAGGATCAGTCATGGACCAGAACATGTTTGTGGGAAATGAACATGCAGGCATAAGTGCAAACCGAACCACATGGCATCAATGCCTAACAACAATCTTTTATGAACACAATCTAGCTTCACTAAAATTTATCATACACGAGCAAGTTTTTGAACAGCTAGTAAGGGCATATGCAGTATATTTTGTTGGAAGAAGAAGAGAACTAAAACAAGGCAAAAGAACATGTGCCATGCACATGCAACTGGCATTTCACTATCCATATCAGAATTAGCACTGCTACTACGAATATCACTGTCCAAGTCTCCAACTGCTGCACTGAAAGATAAAAATAACTCTTAAAGTTACTCTTTAAGCAATCATATCCCCTCACGTTGTTCATTTGGCCTGCTTTCCCTCGTACGATACAGCTAGCTGCCCTAGTGAAACATAGTCAGCCGAGTCACTAGACAACACAGATACTTCTCCCAAACTTCATTTAAGACTTTCTGTCCTTCACTATGACCTGTTTTTCAAACAGAAAGGCCTCTAGAGGCTCCAATTCTGAGACAATATTCGTTTATGGACTGATCAAACAAGAACCACCTAATAAATCGATGTTGAACTTGACCTGAAGGGAGTATCCCCTCCATCTGGCAACCAGTATTGCCAACATTGAAAATATTTTGTAGCCTGTTCCTTCCTATATCAACATTGGTCACGGACAGATTTGGTTCTCTCATGAATATCCCTACGTTTGAATATCAAAGATACCAACAAACGTCAGCCAACCCATATGGGAAAGCTTGATGCTCACCCCCATCAATTTGTTGGCCCCAAAACCAAACAACACGTTTTGTTTCCTATTCTAACCAAACCCCGATTCTGGCTCTTCTAAGTTCTCTATTTTTGCCTATAAGGTGAATGTTTCACATGTTCTTTGGCCCAACCGCTCCTCTACGTCATTACTCCTCCTGACTAGTAGCCACTACAGCCAGATTTATCGTCCAAAGAGAGGAGTACAAGAGTGAATGTAATCCAAGGAAATAGCTAATAAATTCTCATTCAGACATTTCGTCGAATAGTTGGAAGTTTTAGCTAGTGCTGCTTGTAACCAGACAAAAAACAGAGAGATATCGGACGCCACATGGTCAAACTACTACTGGATAGTGCAAAAACAGAGGAGGTAAGACTTTTTGACGATTCCAATCCAACAGTCGGTTCATCCATGTTCAAACAGCGGAACGGGAAACAAAGACTAAACTAGAACAGGATCGATCAGACACAGAACAGAACGCAAGTAGGAGTGAAGTAACGCGTTTAGACTACTGACCGTATTCCGGTGCTTTGCTCCCCTTCCTTAGGCGTCCGATCAGTGAGAATCGCCGCCGCCGGCGACGGTTGACGAACAGGTGACGACTCCGATTCTCGCTGATGTTCATTCCGAAAGCGTGATCGGTGGCGCATGTTCTTCGATCGACGTCGAAGTCGAAGTATTCCGCCGAACGCTGAAATCAAAAGAGATGATCGTCTAGCAGCCGAATGAACGGAGTTCCTTCGTTTGTTATGGCCTCCGCGCGCTATCCGCAGAAGTTATTCTGCTAACAGGCCAAACCGTTAGCAGATACTAACAGGGCAGGATGAAGGGCCACGTCGGCCCATGTTTGATCCAACGGAGGAGCTCTCGGCTCGGTGGTGGCTCACTTAAGTGAGCTGAAGGTGGGCCAACAAGCAAAATCCGGCCAAAAATCCGGCCCAGCGTGCGGCGGGCAGCGGAGCTGAGCAAGTGGCGTGGTGGGCCCAGCTTGATTTTGGGCGGGAGAATGGAGAGGAGTGGAAAGAGAACCAAATTTTATGGGCCCATGTTAGTATTATGTATGTGTTGTTTGTGTGGATATTTATTTGTTCTCAGTCGATATTAATTTATGTTATGTTGATATTGCTTTGTATTATTGTTGAAATTTTGGGCCGTATTATTCCTTTGCAAAACAATATCCTACACACTATCAAGTCCTAACTCGTAAGGCTTGCAACCTTAGTTAGGGCTGCCCGCCGAGGGCCCATGGGCCGAAGGCCCATTAAATAATATTAGTTTTTATTGACGAGCGGTTTATTTTTTAGGGTTGATTGTTTAGGTTTGGTTTACGGTTTACGGTATAGAGGTTAGGGTTTGGGTTCTCTTTAGGGTTTAGGGTTTTGTCTGGTTAGTATGAATATCTATTATTTCCTAATTATATTGTTTTTAGAGTTTATTTAGTAGTGTTGATTGTTTAGGGTTTAGAGTTCAGTGTTTAGGGTTTAGAGTTTAGCGAATGTTTGAGTTTATTTGAACCCGAGGAAACATTCCCTTAGTTCATGTGTTTGGATATTTTTGTGGAACCTTTGAATATTATCAGCTTGGGAAAACAATAATAGTTTTATTTTTTTAGTGTTTAGTGATTAGGGTGATAGAGTTTAAACTTTAGGGTTTAGGGTTAGGGTACAAATAATAGATATTAGTTTGTGTGTTGTGGATACTCGTTCTTCCTAGTTGTAATACCTGTTACTAACATACTGATATTTATTCCAAATATTATGATTTTTTTCCGGGCTGTGCAGATATTTATTTGAACCTGAGGAAACATTCCCTTAGTTCATGTGTTTGGATATTTTTGTGGAACCTTTGAATATTCTCAGCTTGGGAAAACAATAATAGTTTTATTTTTTTAGTGTTTAGTGATTAGGGTGATAGAGTTTAAAGTTTAGGGTTTAGGGTACAAATAGTAGATATTAGTTTGTGTGTTGTGGATATTTTTTGAAACGATCTTAATACGTTTTACTAAGGAACTGATAGTTATTTTTAATAAACTGATATTTGTCTGGGTTGTATGGATACTTGTCTTTCCTAGTCATAATACATGTTTCTCACATACTGATATTTATTCAAACATATTTCCTTTGTTCATATGTTTGGATATTTGAATTGAATCTGAGGAAATATTAACTTAGTTCATGTGTTTGGATATTTTTCTGGTTTGTCTGGGTATTTTTCTGGGTTGTCTGGATATATTTCTGGGTTGTCTGGATATTTAATTGATATTAGTTTGTGTGTTGTGGATACTCGTCTTTCCTTGTTGTAATACTTGTTTCTAACATACTGATATTTATTCAAAATATTTTGAACATTCACTTAGTTCATGTGTTTGGATATTATTGTGGAACCTTTGAATATTCTCAGCTTGGGAAAACAATAATAGTTTTATTTTTTTAGTGTTTAGTGATTAGGGTGATAGAGTTTAAAGTTTAGGGTTAGGGTACAAATAATAGATATTAGTTTGTGTGTTGTGGATACTCGTCTTTCCTTGTTGTAATACTTGTTTCTAACATACTGATATTTCCTTAGTTCATGTGTTTGGATATTTGAATTGAATCTGAGGAAATATTAACTTAGTTCAGGTGTTTGGATATTTGTGTGGAACCTTAAAATATTCTCGGATTGGGCACATGTTGATAGTTTTATTGTTTTAGTGTTTAGTGATTAGGGTGATAGAGTTTAAAGTTTAGGGTTTAGGGTTAGGGTTTAGGGTTAGGGTTTAAGGTTAGGGTTTAGGCCTAGGGTTTAGGGTTAGGGTTTAGGGTTAGGGTTTAGGGTCAGGGTTAGGGTTTAGGGTTAGGGTTAGGGTTTAGGGTTTAGGGTTAGGGTTTAGGGTTTAAGGTTAGGGTTTAGGGTTAGGGTACAAATAGTGGATATTAGTTTGTGTGTTGTGGATACTTGTTTTTTCTAGTTGTAATACTTTTTACTAACAAAAATTTTGGCATAAGTTGTAATACTTGTGTGGATATTTTGGCATAAGTTCCAAAAATCATCTTACTGATCTTTTCTACTACGTCGACAGCGAGGCCAAGTTTGATGAGGGTTTAGAGTTCTGGTTTTCAATTTGTGAAAGATTGGAATATTGTGTCTTACATCAAATTACACACACTAGCAAGTCCTACACACTATCAAGTCCTAACACGTAATGCTTGCAACCATATTTAGGGCTGCCCGCCGAGGGCCCATAGGCCGAAGGCCTATTAAATAATATTAGTTTTTATTGTTGGTGTTTGGATATTTGTGTGGAACCTTTGAATATTATCAGCTTGGGAAAACAATAATAGTTATATTTTTTTAGTGTTTTATTGATTAGGGTGATAGAGTTTAGGGTTTAGGGTTAGGGTACAAATAATAGATATTAGTTTGTGTTTTGTGGATACTTGTCTCTCCTACTTGTAATACGTATTGCTGTCATACCGATATTCATTTAAAATATTATGATATTTGTCCGGGTTGTGTGGATATTTATTTGAACCTGAGTAATTATTCCCTTAGTTCATGTGTTTGGATATTTGTGTGGAACCTTTGAAATATTCTCGGCTTGGGAAAACAACAATAGTTTTATTGTTTTAGTGTTTAGTGATTAGGGTGATAGAGTTTAAAGTTTAGGGTTTAGGGTTAGGGTACAAATAGTAGATATTAGTTTGTGTTTTGTGGATATTTATTTGAACCTAAGTAAATATTCCCTTAGTTTATGTGTTTGGATATTTGTGTGGAACAAAATATTGATATTAGTTGGGGTGTTGTGGATATTTTTCAGTATTTGTTGTAATATGTTTTATTTATTTCTTGATGGTTTGTTGTATTATTGTGGTATTTGTTTGTGTTTCTTGGATATTTCTCTGTACCTATTGAATATTCATCTATTTTTTGTGTTGGATATTTGTGTGGATTGTTGAGATACTATTCGTGGTGCCGTGGATACTTGTATTCCAGAATATCTTAGTATGGGTGGGCCCAAATCAGTTTTGGGTGGGCTTTTGGGTCTTTTCAACAAATTGGGGAAAGAATAGAAGTGATGGGCAATTAATGCCACAACCACTTTTTCTCTCTCAACTCTCCCAACCCCTTCTTCTCTCTTCTTTTCTCTGAACTTCCTCTTCTCTTCTCCGACGGAAAAGTCGCCGGCGGCGACCTGCCTCTTTCCTCTTCTTCCTCCGGCGTCCAGGAAACGTTGCTGATGATGATCCATGATGAGGCCGAGTTAGATCCTCCACAAACGAGCTCGTCCCATGAAGAAGAAGAATTTGTTGATGGTGTATTAGAAGGTTTGACTCAAATAGATGGTGGTTGTGGGTTTGGCTTCGATGCTACAGTAAAAGAAGAAGAAAAAGAAGGTGATTGTGGATTGACATATTTATAAGTTTGTGTTGTTGAGTTTTGGTTGGGAGCATTGAATGAAATTTAATGTCTTTGGTGTGAGTTTAATGTTTGTTGGTCTTCTTGGATTCTACTATGAGCTAGTTGGATACTTGTTACCTACTGTTTGTTGGACGTAGTTTGTAGCCCATGTTTATTTTGTGTGGATACTAGTCTGGGCATATATTATATTCATTGAAATATTGTGGATACTAGTACGTTGGATTATAATACTGATGTTTATTTTGGGTGGATACTAGTCTGGGCATATATTATATTCATTGAAATATTGTGGATACTAGTACGTTGGATTATAATACTGATACATATTTGGAGAAATGGGATACGATTTTAAGATTCATGGATACTACTGTTTATGGATATTTGTTACACGTATTCTAGTGTGAGTTTAATGTTTGTTGGTCTTCTGGGATTCTACTATGAGCTAGTTGGATACTTGTTACCTACTGTTTGTTGGACGTAGTTTGTAGCTCATGTTTATTTTGTGTGGATACTAGTCTGGGCATATATTATATTCATTGAAATATTGTGGATACTAGTACGTTGGATTATAATACTGATGTTTATTTTGTGTGGATACTAGTCTGGGCATATATTATATTCATTGAAATATTTTGGATACTAGTACGTTGGATTATAATACTGATACATATTTGGAGAAATGGGATACGATTTTAAGATTCATGGATACTACTGTTTATGGATATTTGTTACACGTATTCTGGGAATTTCTCTGGGCGCATTGGATACTAACTGGCAATGGAAATATCTCGCAGCTCACAACACTTCGGACCTAGAAGATGATGAAGCGAGGAATAACATCTTTTTTCGCACTAAGGAAGAGTGTGTTCGTTTCTACCAACGCTATGCTCACAAGAAAGGGTTTGGTGTTCGAGTAGATTCGCAACATTTGAGAAAAAGGAAGAATTCTGAAGGAGAGGTGGTGGAAATTTATGCCTACCTTTATTATGTTTGTAATAAGGAAGGGTCAACGGAAGAAGTCAATGTTCAGAAACAGAAACATGGAGAGGATTCCGTTGTAGAGAGAAGTCGCCCTAAAAGAAAGAGGTCTCGAATTAGGGGTGAATGCCCCGCCCTTGTTCGTTTCCGATGGGATGAGAATAGGGATGGATATGTGGTGCACAGTTTCATGGGAGCTCACAATCATGATTTGCAGCCCACCAAGCATGCTCACCTATTAAAGTCAAACAAGTCCGTGAGCGTTCCTCAAGGACTTGTTGCTGAAGCAAATCGCAATGCCGGGATGAGCCTTAGGTCATCGTATCAGCTATTGGCTGAGTGTGCCGGTGGGTATGAGAACTTGACTTTTACC